TGATTTTTAGGGGATTTGGGGTTAAGCTTTTAAGTGAAGATAAATGGTGAATTTTTAACATTTTTCTCTACACAGGGGCAAATCAGGGATATAATCCAGATGCTTCTGCTGTGCCAGTTGCACTGGGAGATGAATGAGATGCATCCTGGTGTGTGATTACTGGCCTTATCTAGTAATGCTGGATTTGTATCAGAATTAATACACAATGTCAAAAGGCACATTCCTTAAGAGCATGTGCCAATTCCTCTGGAAATAAGGACTCAGTCTCAAGGCTGTCCATACACCTGTTCTCCTTAGGCTCTGGATAATCCTCACTACACCCCAAGGTGGAACAAATTTGTCCTTCCAGCCAAGCCCTCTGCTTTCACTTGTGCGTGTGACAGAAAAGTGGCTACAAACAACACAATTCTGCATCCAGCACCTCAACACAAACCCAAATTCAAGGCCAGGCCTCCCCCTTGGATGAGAGATGAAGTTTTAACAGTTAGGCAGTGCTGTGGTTATAAAATGCAAACTCAAATTTATCCTTAAACCAGGTTGTGTTAAAAAAAAAAAAACCAAACCAACAAACCAACATATAAAAGAAGCACTTACTTATATGTTGCTATAGGTTGTGGCTGTCCCATCCCTGGAAGTGTCCAAGTCCAGGTTGGAACAACCTGGTCTAGTGGAAGGTGTCCCTGCCCATGGCAGGGGTGGAATGAGATGAGCTTCAAGGTCCCTGCCAACCCAAACCATTCCAGGATTCTATGATACAAAAAAGTCCTGATTTTAACAGCAAAGACACCAAAAGGCAAATGAGGACATGGCAATCAAGACAAGAGTACTCCAAAGGAGGAACTAGAATTGCCCAACTCCCTGGTTAAGGAAACTCATCTCAGAGGGGTTTCTTGATGCAGCTGAGGAAGTCAGTCCTTACAGAAGAACACTGAATATTTTGAGGCTCTTTTTGTTAAAAACCAGTTTTAAGTAATTAGAAACTGGAAGTCAGAGTCATCAATTCCCATCCAGAACTAATGAGGATTTTATGACATAGTTCTTTCTAAATTGCCACTTGCCTGCCCCTCCTTCTGTCTCATTAATACCATCCAGAAATCACTGTGAGTTCTGAATGCAGGGCTGGCCTTTGGCTCAGCTTCTCCTGACACCCAGAGGTAACAACAGCTCAGTCCCATCAGGGCAGGGAAGCTGGGATGGTGGAATTACTGACTGGGAGAGCTTAAAATTAACTCTCCTATTCCAGAGGACCTTGGAAGTGACAACCAGTTGCTTTGGGTTGGTTTTTGGTGGAACTAGCTAAAGGAGGAGCAGGGAGGGGACCCTTAGGCCCTACTGTAGCCAGGGTATGTTCAGGGATCTGAGGGTTCCAAGGGCAACCCCAAGAGTTCAGGTGAGGGCTGGAGTCAGGGCAGAGCTGCAGTTCAACACTTGGAGCTGGGACCTTCTGTGATCCCATTGCAGGGCTAAAACTACTAAAAGGAGATGAAGAGAACAGAGCAATAATGGGGCACAACGCTGTAAAAGAAGAGAGGGACAAAGATACCTGTGTTGATCTTTAGGTGACCAAAGAGAGTTGAATAATCCCAACCCTGAGGATATTTGCTGAATCCTAATTAACTTTGCACATTCATCACTTCTGAGACTCCCAAAGGCTGTGCATTTTGAAATTATTTCTAATGATTATCTGTCCAGCTATTACAAAATCCTTGAAAACTAAGATATTTTCTGCTGTAGATTTTAATTAAACAGTAAAATATTTGTTAGAAATACAATCTTCTTTGAAGGAATGGGGAGAAAAGAGAGCATGTTCTGGACTGGCTACAGTTTCTATTACCTGACTCAAAAGGTAAAATTTACTTTCTGTATGCATGAAAAATATGCTGCATTTCTTAATATTTTAAAATGAAACTAAGAGCAGAGTTCACTTTTGGGACTTATTCCATGGGAAATGGTTTTATCATTATGCAGTTGTTTGAAACATCTTAACGTCTCCTTGCAATCACTATTTAGAGATAAAAAAACTGGCCACACGGGGTGACACTGAGTTGTGTTACTGGAAACAAGGACAAGCTGTTAAATCCTCTCCTGGGTGAAGTGTCCTGTGTTTAAGACAGGGATTTGTGTATCCAACATCCTGTGAGGCACAGCCAGGAGACACAGACCCCCAGACAAGAGGGCCAGTGTGTCCCACAGTGACTCATGAGCACACTCAGATTGTCCTCACACATTAAAGGGTTCAGCACACAACTGGATTAGGCCTTTCATCTCTCCTTCCCCACCCCAGTGATCCCAAATTCCCATCAACTTCCAAACTCCATCAGCAGCCATCGCAACAACTATTGCAGCTTTTGTTTCTGTGTGGTAGAAAGGCTTTTTTTTTTCCTTTTAAAGATGGAAAACCAGTAACAAAAGCTCCTGTTATATTGGGATACCCAATATGACCCAGGCTTGGGCACAACAAAATGAGGAACAAAATCCCAAGCCCAGATCAAACAGTCCCAACAAAGGGTAAGCAAGACATACAAATGTCACCATCAATCCTCCTGTTCCAAGCATATGCTTTGTAAGGCACAATAAATACAGTTTAACTTGTTCCCAAATCCTCAAGCAAACAAAAACATCCAAGCAGCAGCTGTCAGTTATTCATATTGACCAAGAAAATGAAAGCACCAGTCAGTATAGTGGAAAATGAAGCTCAAAGCAGGTGATAAAAATCAAAATTCACTGGCATTGAGAGCCTCAGCTGAACTCTTGAATCTACCAGATGCTAACACCCCTGCTTTTGTCTCAGCACTCCATTTAAAGATTTCAGATTAACTCTATAAAACTTGAGCATGAATATGATTTCTGGGGTTTTGTGCACGTGGTTTGTCTTTTTAACTCCACAAAAGTGAGTAGTTAATTTTATCAGCATTCTCCAGGAAAACATGTAATTGAAAATACAATATAATACAGGCAGTGAATGCCAGTTTAGCTGTCAGCAAGCAAAAAACTGAGAAGATCTCAGGGTTTCAGAGCACAACAGCTGGGAGCACTGCTGGAATTACATATTTGAAATTCCCCATTTCTACAGACAGCCCTGTTCTAAGTATTCCATAGTAAGGTCTTCCCTATATCCAACCATCCAAAAGCAAGGCTGTTCTATGTGTAATTTTGCACAATTATGTTCAATACACATAAATTTCTCTATTAAACAAAGCCATGGGTTGAGTCTCAGTTCGAAGACAATCTTCTTCCTATCCCCCAAGAATTTTCTGGGAGAAAACAGGTATGTTTTTAGAATTCCTCTCCTCTCCCCAGCAGTATCTACACTTCCAGGTGTTTAGGGCCAGTGGGAAGAGTCTCCTGCACACGGAGACAAGGAATGATCATCCTCCTGGGAGAGGAAGCAGGGACCAACCAACCAGTCCATTAGAAAGAGGAGTATCCAGACTATTTGTTACAATCTAGAACTAGTCTACAGGAAGTAAAATTTCCCCCCCAAAAGCAGAAAACCTCCTGCTGAAATACTGGTCATGGGGAATAAACAACTGTGACCCATTTTTTAATATAACCCAGAGACAGCTCAAACAAACCTCAGCATAAAGGACAAAAGCAAAACAATAAAACAAGATAAATACAAGGACAAGGCATTGGAGAAAATGTTTCTCTAAGAGTGTCCCAGCTGATCTTTAAAATTTAATCACAATTCACCAGCCAGAGCTTCCTTACCTATTTCATTAGGAGACACTTCCCTGTAAAGCCCTCCAGTACACACTGGTCATGTATTGCAGGGGCCACTTAAACAAATCAATGACTCATTAGTACCTGGTGAGCATCTGGCTTAATGAAATAGTCTGTTCATCCGTTATCAGAGACTAGAAACAATCCCTGCAGAGTGAAAGATGTAGGATCTCAGAAGTCCTGCTGTGTTAAGGATTGAGATCAGGGTTAGAGATCATTTTAGAGCTTTACATCGTTGTCAGTTTAACAATACAATTTGATATGTGGTTTACCAGGACAGTTTGTTTGGGTAACTCCTGGGTATTAATGAGTTTACATTCATTTTATGGGATTGAAGTCTGTTTAAAGGGTTTAGGAAGTTACCTGAGGTCATAACAACTAGTTAGGAAGGTTACCAGCTTTCTTAGAGGAACGAAGAGCCTTCAAAACCAGTGCCAGCCTGACCAGCACCCCCTTATACAGTTTTTTTCCCTTCAGCTAAACATATGTTTTCAATAAACATCTCTGTTAAGTACAAAAACAAGCAGCTACAACAAGGGTGGGAGGGATAGGAAATAAAAGTTACACCACAAAGGTAATACTCACAAATCCAGCAGCAGGTTAAATAAGGGAGCTCAGGAACCAAGCCTAGAGCCTGAAGTGACTCTCTGTGCCAAACGTGAGCTGGGCAGTTCAGAACAGTATTCCCAAACGTTCCTTTTCCAAACCAGGACCAATCCAGCAGCTCACTGATGCAAAAAACAATACACTCACCTTCTCCAAAGCCTGGTTGCTCGAGGTACTGCTGGGAACAGAAAGCTCCAGCTATTGAGAACAGACACTCAGCCTTCTCCTGATGGTGGGGACCTCAGAAACTGATGAAAGACTGAGCAGGCTCCACCTTCACAAGCTCTGGTGGGATCAAAATCACCCAATTTAATACATTCACCACCTTAATTGCAGGAGAACTGACCTGGAAATGAAAGAGAGCTTTGATGCCCTCTGCATCCCTGCATACCAGTGCTGGCAGGGTCCAGACTGGAAAGTGGAAGAGGTCAAGTACTACCTTACATCCCATCTTTTTTATGGAAGGCTTTTAAAAAACCCACAGATTTACCATGTACTAAGAGATAAGTGATGATAATTTACCTGCATATTTAAATAGAGCCTCTACAACACATCCTACAGTAATTCCACCTTCATGGCTTCTGAAATTTGTCACTTATACCATCAGGAAAGCACCACTGGATACATTTTATCTTTCTTCTCGCCTCTTGAAATTTAAGACAGACAAACACTTAAGCATCAGATATGTTTATTAGACAACTCGAAAAGTCAGTTTTATTAGACAACTCAAAAAGAAAAGTAGAATGTATTTTCATGTCCATGTTTTAATACTTCATGATCTCAAGAACGTGGCAATCACAGAAGATAAAAACAGTGTTTACAAAAGTTCCAAAAGCTGCACTGCATTCCCAGCTACAGGAATCAGGATTAGAGGACAAGGAAGCTTTATAAAATGCAGCCACAGATTTTCAGCTCATTATGAAACACAGTGATATAGCCATGTATATGCATTCACAAAAAAATCGGCACAGTATGGAAATTAAGGCACTTTGGATACATAGTATTCACTTCCAAATAGGAAAACAATTTCAGAGAAACCACAGTAAATTGCTACTGGAGGATGGTGACAGTATGCCCAGTACAGACCAGCAGAGCACCAAGGTTGGGTGAGTGAGTGAAGTTCTGGTTAAAAAAAAGAGCAATGAAATATTTTTTTTTTTACCCTACTTGATTCAAGCAAATTTACTTTTACAGAGGTCAAGGAAGATTTCCATGATTTAAACACTGGTAAAAACAATTTTAAGAGTTAAATGTAACAAGTCCATGTGAAAACTGCATGAAGTTCACATTAAGGATTAGTGCATGTAACTGTTTCAAAAAGAATAAAAATAAAAAGCAATGGCCTTCTCCATTCAGCCTTCACCTGCTGTTTCATGAGGTCCCCACCAACCCCAGCCAGACCAAGGGAATACAGTACAGCAGGATAATTTGGCAAAAAGCAATTTCTCTTCAGAGCTGCACTTTCTGCTCCTCCTGTTCAGTTCAGATTGTCCCTGTTTCCTTCCTGTGTCCCCCTGTGCCACCAGCACACTGATATATAAGACATCTACAACACATTCCACAAATAATCATTCTCTAATTGAAAGAAAAAATCATCTCAGCTGGTTTTCCCCCCCACTGTGAAAGCAAAACTTAGTAATTGAGTAGGTTTGCAGCCTTTGGTAGGTAAATGCTAAGGAGTAAAACCACTCCAAAGTTCAGCTCTAATCCACCAGGAGTTAAATAGAATTGTTAGCAATGGCATTGGGCATTTAGAGGATCAGGCACTTAAATTGGGTATTATTGTTGCCATTTCACTTTATTAATTTGAGTAAAAAATGCCATTTTATAGGAAAAAAAAGTAAGTTCTTCAAAAATCAAAGCAGGGCTTAGACATGGAAATGATGTTTACTCCAAAGAACTTGGCTTTTAATTAGGCCAGATAATTCCCATGGGAGTAGGGTCCAGCAGATTTCATCCAGAGCCAGGAAGAAGACACTAACATACATCTGGACAAGTATATCCTGCTATATCTCCAGTGTACCACTAACATCCAGGAGAAACTGTCCTCTCATGTTAATTCTTCTTTTACCAGAACAACAGCCTGGACACCCTTCAGTATAAAACACAGCATTCCCCAGCACTGAACTGCTCCCCTCACACACAGCTGATATTTCAATTTAAAACATGGAATTAACCTTCCTGAAACCTGATTTTCCATTCCCACTTGAGCCATATTCCAGTACTTGGACCACAGAATGATTTCTGTCCCCAGTATCTGAGTGTTCACAGAAAATCCATCCATTTTGAACCTTTGCTCTGGGTTGTATCAAAATCTATTCTCACAAAACTGCAGTAATAAAACTTACTTTTCTAAGTGTGATGATGTGACTCTTTATCAGCATAAAGCTATTTGAAAATATAGTGTTTTATGTAACATTCATTTTTTTTACAGACAAAAAAATAGTAACTGAATAAGTCTGTTTTAAAAGCAATGAGAAGAAGTCCTACTCAGAACACTCAATTCTTTGCAATTCAGGCATTTCACACATAAAAATAAAGAACTGAACACAAGATTGTAATTTTAAGTGTCCTGAGAGCAGTTTCTCCTTTTGTGAACCTTCATAAGAGAAGTAATGTCAGCTCTGAGCACTAAAATATATTATTCCCCAAATACATCCCCATTTGTTAAGCTGAATAGGGACACAGAGTATCTTGGTGGGGAGAAAAATATCTTTTAAATAAACATCATAAATGGAAAGAAGGATTTTTAACCAGGGTTATTTCCTTTTGCTTTCATTAGGTAGTAAGAGAGTTGGCATAACTTATGTTTCATTTAATGTTATCATGAAAAAAAACAAAATTACAATCCATCAGATGAAATTAAATATTAACTCATCCCTAATCAAGGCAGAAAGATTGATCAAGTTAAACAGTATCAATTAGGATAATCTTTATACTGTTCTACTTTGATTACATGGTTCAAAACCCAACAGGAATGTTGACCAATGTCACATGTATCAATGTGATATCAGTTAATACCAATTAACCCAAAAGTTAGTGCATTGATAGTGAAAAAACAGGTAAAACTCCTTGTTTTGTAAACTTAGAGGACAAATTTGTGATAGTAATTCCAGATTTGACTGAATACTTTAAGCCAACTGTCACCACTGTCCCTTTGGCTGAAGTGCATCATAAAAAAGCACATTATGGACAGATAAAGCTACATGTTTATGCACCACATGTTATAATATCTATACATATACACAGAGTATGGTAAGAAAGGCTGTAAAATAGCAAATGTTACCAGCACCAGAGTGAAGTCCTACCACTGCTCCCAGCTAAAGTCATCTCCTCTCCCAAACACAAGGAAAAAGCCTAAAATAGTAAGGAAAATGACTGCATTGCCAGCCAGCACCAGGCCACAGGCTCCCCATTTGATCTGAAATGCAAGGAAATGGAACAATCAAAGCAAATCAAAGTCCAGGGCAGATATTTCTATGCATTAGAGAAACTAAAAACACTACAGGAAGGTGCTAAAAGCATACAGAAAAAGACAACAATAAATAATTCAGTTTATGTGGCTAATTATTCAATTAGCAGCCACTCATACTGCTAATACAACACTTCAACAGGCTAATGCTATGATGCAGAACAAAATAAAAATAATAAAATAATAATGAAAATAATATAAATATATAAATAATCTATACATAATATAAATAATACAAAAATACAAATATAATAAAGTAAAATAACTAAAATAATTTTTAAAATAATAATAAAAAAACCACTTGCCATAGAGATCATTAAAACATACCTAAATCAGAGAGAAATGTTATGAAATTAGTGCTCTCCTTTAATTGCCATGCAATAAAATAAGAGATCTCCTTTCAAATAACTAATGAGCATTAAAAAAATGGTCTTAAAAGTAAATAGCCTCTCTTTTAACAATTTGTCCAACTGATTTTACTCAAATAAGCAACATTTAGCACTAAAAGGTACAGTTGTGAATTAGAGTTCCCTCTCGTGGTCATTCTGCTTCTTTCTGGCAGCTCCTACTGCCAGATCCACGATTTCAAGTGTCAGGGAAATTGGACATTACAAATAAACTCAAACTCAGCATACAAGTTTCAAGAAAAACTCAAAGACTGAAGGGGAAAAACAACAAAACAAAAAAGTCACTGGGTAGTTTGGGAGATGGGAAAAAGGAATTCTCTGCCTGGCAAATAAATGTGACAAAAATCTCACCCCTGAAGAGCAGCTCAGAAAGCAAAGAGAAAAGGAGTTAAGTAGAGTTTCCTCAGACTCTGAGGGGACAAAGCAAGAGCTTGGGAAATGCTTTGAAAACTAGGAAGGGCAGTTCTGGAAGTTTGGCCTTTTATCTTTTAACTGACAATGGACCCCAGTCACCAAGTTTTCAGCATCCTAAATGGAGAAAGCAGACATTGCAAGATAAAAATAAGGAAGCTGGTGCAAAGGGTCATGAGATACAGAGGCATGAGATGGAAGAGGAGATGTTATCTTGTATTAGACCAAAACGAATCCAGGGCAAAGAAAAACAGCTAAAAAATTTTCAGTCATGCAAGTCCTTCATTCAGGTCAAAAAGCAGCACTGACACAACTTCAGCAGATTGTTTTCATCTGGACACATCAAATAATAAAATTAAAGACAGGATTTACAGGCAGCAACAGTGCATTTAAAGATTATTCTCAGCAACTGGTGTCTAAAAATAAAAATTAGCAAGAACTTACTGCTTCAACCCGTGCAAGGATTATTGGAAATCCAAAAGCTGAGACAACAATTCCTGTGGTGAAGAAATAGGCCAGTTCTCTGCAGGCACTGCTGGCAGCATCACTGTCATCACTCACTCTTCTGGCAATGAAGTGGGGAATGGGGCAGATGAAGTAAAATATCAACACAAACAGAGGCCAGTACACACTGGGAAGGGGGAAAAAGGAAATGTATAATCAGTTAAATGGATGCTTCAGTCAGAAAAATTATTGCAATAGCTCTAATCCAACTTTATAGTTTGAAAAGGGGATCACCCACAAGATTTCACCCAAAAAGTGGCAATCCCACCTCACATTCCCTGGCACAAGCACTCACAGAGCAGAAAACACCCCTCTCACACGACCAAGTGTTAATTTGTTTGACATTTGCATCACTTTGCTGATTCAAGCCTAACCACATAGGGAAGAGGAACGTGAGCAGGATAGGAGCAGCTTTCCCAAATTAGAGGGATAACCCAGCTGGCTGAAGGCACACCCCGGCACTCCCATCTCTGTGTCAGGGCTCTCAGGAGCTTCCTCTGCGTTTTCAAGTGTTACAGACACAGAATCACAGAATTCTAGAACAGTTTGGGTTAGAAAAGACTCAAAAGCTCATCTAGTTCCAACCTCCATGGGCGGGGACATCCCAACTGGAGCCTTGTGGGAGGATGGTTTAGAAAAACAGAAAATTAAGGGAAAGGACTGTGCGAGGTTAAAAATCGCTGTTTAGCAACCTGGCACCGCGTTCCCAGAGACAGCACAGAGCTGTCTGCAGTATTTATTTTTTTTAATGGAAGTGCAAATATCGGCTAAAGAAGTGGCCTTTAATCACAACAAACCGCCACGTGTCAAGAGCCAGGAAGTGGCGGACTGCTGGAAGAGCCAAACAGCTCAGTTAAACGAGAGTAACATCTCAATTAACAGATTTGAAGCAGGAGAAACTTTGGGAAGTCAGCCGGCCCGCTCACCCGTAGTACTCCAGGGCGCAGCCCAGCATGAGGAACGTCAGCCCGATGGCTCCGCTGAAGGACAGGGCCACGAGAGCTGCAACGGCACAGGGCGGGCGGTGAGGCGGCGGCCGGGCATCCCCCCCGGGGACCGGGCATCTTCCCCCCGGGGACCGGGTACCACCTCAGCGGGGACGGGCATCCCTCACGCGGGATCGGGTACCACCTCACAGGGGACCGGGAACCGCCTCCCCGGGGGCCGGGCATCCCTTCCCGCATTCCCGGCCGCCAGCTCCCGCGCTGAGGCGATGCGTGGACGCTCCCTGAGCGGGAAGCCTTGGGAAGGAGGGAGGGAGGGAAGAAGCTCTCGGTACCTTTGACGCCCGCCATGTCCGGCCTCCTGAGGTGACTTCCGCCTTCTGGCCACGCCCCCGTCACGTGACCGCCGCCTTCACAGGGCGGAGGGGCGGGACAAGAAGTTCCCGCCCTCGCGACAAGGGGCGGAGTTTGCTGAGGGAGCGGCCCCTGCGAGGGGGTTAGAGTGGATACCGGCACGAATATACGTGTTTATTTTATGTATGGTGTGTAATAAATGTACATATGTACGTGATAAATGCATATATGTGTGTGCACAGCCGCGGTCTGAATACAAAAGCGCCGTTTTAAAGAGCCCCCGCCCTTCAGTCGCTGCCGTTTTGCAGGGTACTCCTGAAACCCCGTTTTCACCCCAAAAAATGGGCCGGGGCGCCCGTTTATCTCATACGCTGCCTTCTCAGGGTCTGCATCATCCCTTCTGCTAATCCACACTGAGAAGGGCACGTATGTTTTTTTTAAAGAAGTATTTTTCAAGCCTTAGATTTTTGAAATGCCACTTTCGACCCCACATTTTTTACCCAAGAGCTGCCTTTTGGCCCCAAGAATGGCCTTTTTGACCCAATAAGAGCCTTTTTGTCCCAAGAGCTACCTGATCTTTGCCCTAAGACTGATCTTTTCGGCCTGAGAACAGCCGTTTTGATCCTAGAACAACATTTTTGCCCCAAGAACAGTCTTTTTGAGGGAGATTTTGGACAGCCCTTTGGATACCCCTCCCCAGGGACCTTTTCTTCAGATACCTCCCCTCTCTCCCTCTTATTTCTTCTTATTTCATATCTCTCTGATACAGATTTTTTCCCGTTTTTCATTGTTAATTTTAAATAGTTTTGAACCAAGAAGGCTAATTAAAGCAGGCTTAAGCAGCTGAATGCTTCAAGTGAAAATTTTGGGGTTGTTGACTTGCCTGACTATGGGTCTCTGGAGCACAGTAGCATAAGTACAGCAATGACAAGTTGTTTCCAAAACATCTTAAATTGGGAAAAGCACTTGGAATGCTAACCTGTGGATAACCACAGGCATTAATGACCACTTACAGCAGCAATACTGCTCCTGTCCAGGGCACACCACCCCTCACACAGGAGCTGTTGTAGGACTTTAACCTTTTGGGCTGGTCACAAGCACAAAACATACCTGAATATGTTAATTTGAGCTCTTTAATGTATGTACAAATGTTTTAGACCAGTCACAATTTCGTTGAGTATATACCGTATTTACAAAAATTACAATAATTGAGTCAAACAGTAAACCTGAACATTGATAACCTCTGTCACTACCAGATATGACAAGAACTTTTTTTTTAGTTAACTATTTTGATATACATACGTCCTAATACTTTCATGCATCCATAAAAACATTAGGGATGGAAGTAATCAAAGCTTAAGTGGCAGAGAGGTTTTTTTGGTAGATAAAGTTTAATGATGGATTTGTATTTTGTGAAGGGATGAGTATCCAGAGTTATGTGCCATGACAAACTCCATACAAAGCTAATGTTGTTTTCATCATTAAAAAAGTACATTATAGTAATGAGATCCTTTTTATTATATAGGCATAGGTCACAATATCTACAAATGTGAATGAGAAACAGTAAACCAACAAATCACAGGAACATGATTCACATTCCAGTTATCTCTTTAAATAAGACAAGCACATACTGGATCAAAACATTAATAAATAACATCCAGTTTGTTACTATTATCTTAAGGTCTTTTATATAAAAGGAGACCTATGTGTTGGTTTCACATTTTCAGTTAATGGTAGTAAATAATGGACCAATACAACAAAAGGATGAGTTTTATACAGAAAGCAATGTACTTTGACACACTGTCTTTGCAGTAATAGCTTTGCCACTTGAAAATGTAAGTGCAACAAGTAGTGGATTGTCTTGAAAAACCACCAACTTTAAAGACTCACATCAGATGGCAACCTGTTCCTGAAGCAGTAAATACAATTTCCTGCCCATCTGCTGAATATCCCTCAAATACAGATACAACTTGTTGGTAAATAAACTGCTACCTTTAGTAACTCTACAAAAGAATGCCAGAATTTAGGGTGAAGTTTGAATTTGAACTTGCTTTTTAACCAGGAAAGCTGCTTCAGCTTTAGCATCAGAGATATTTCCTTGAGATGTTACTGCTTTGGTCCAATATAAACTTTTAAGAGAATCAATTTGCACTATATTTACCTCAAAAATCAGACCTGGTCACCACGATCTGAAAGGTGAAGTTGCAACAGGTTGCAGCCTGCCAAGAGCCTTGGCCAAGTGCTCTGAAGCTGATAAAGGCATAAAGGTGATACAAGTGGGCTGGGAAAAGTCTTCTGAATCCTCAGGAAGGGGAAATGTTACCTATAGACTAGGGAGTTTCTAAAACTTTGCAGCAGAGCTTTAATTTGTTGATTTTTTTTTGTTTGATGGTTTCAAGCTGCTGGTGGGAAATGCAGTACATGATCATTCCTCACTTTTACAAACATGGGGTCACCCTTCCCCCCCAAAACTGCTGTTTAACAAACCAGCCAGGTGCTGTTTAACATCAATGACTTTTTGCTTGCTTTAAAAGACACTAGCTGAGGAATTTCTTCTTTTACTGCTGGACTGTGAGGTGAAGTACAGGATTAATGCATAAAGCAGTGGGCAGCTGCCACGCTGACCTAACCCAGGATTCAGCTTTGGCTCTATTCAGGTAGACTACACTACATGAACAATTAAGCAGCAAATGGTGACTGTTAGAAGTGTGTCTAAACAACATCTGAGCACTTAAATTTGATGAAGTTTGATCCAAACCCAAGAAAAAAAAAAGTACATCGAAATTTGGGCTTCACCATCAGTTGTTGAACTCAACTGAAGTGTTGCCATGTCACATATCACCAAAAAAAAAAAAAAAAGTAGGAAATTCACCAGCTACACTGTATCAGAGACAGAACAATTCCACCTTTTCCCAGTATGTGTTCTCTCTTCCCACTGGAATCCAAAGAAAAATATGAAAGTTACAAGAAACTGTAACCCCGAGGCTCTGGTAGGGTGAGCCAGGTGGCCAGATTTCCTCTGAGCTCAGGATTCTTGAGACAAGTGTTAGGAAACCTTTCTCTTGTTCTTCATGATAAGTATTAGGCTCTTGGTTTTCTGAAACTTCTGAATTTCCAGCCGGAGTTTGGTTGTTCTGTGATATTTGTGACAAAAGACTATATAAGCACTAGCACGGGTCTGTAGTGGAGACTGAGAAAGTACCTAATACAAGGGTTTTTGTCCTTGGTTTTCAAATTCTGACCAGGCATCATTTAGCTCCATAAATATCATCTTTGCATATTGTTCATATGGCTGTCCAGTAGCCTGGAATAAAAACAGAGAGACGGATATCACAGCTACCAAATCCAACCACACACAGCTGACATGTGAGCAGGGAGATTCCCGAGCAGTTACTGTTCACTTTCCACAAATTTACACTTACTCCTTGACAAAAATGAGCTACTCTGGAGGGCTGCTTACCTTCTTTACACCTGCAGAATATCTTGGCTCTTCTGGTCCTCAAAGCTCACAACCCCCCAGGTGTGACAAAGCACTGCCCCAAGGGCATAGTAAATGTAACGCAGGCATTGCAGGAGGCCTTTTACCGGCACTGAAGGTGAAGAGTTGCCACCTGACACAGTTGCTTGATAAAACCAGTATTCCTGCAAGCCTTGGGGCAGCTTACATCTTCCCAAGCCTCGCCCACTGTCCTGAAACTCTCAGGGTCTTACTTTCCTTAAAAGTCCTCACCATAGGTTGTCCCAGGTAGAGTCATTGCACTCTGATCAGCAAGTGTAAGCAGCAAGACCACAAACTGGGTGATCAGATAACCTGATTGTTCCATTTTAGGAGTTCAATTTGAATCTCCTTTCGCAGGCACGGTATTGTGGGCTGTTGTCCACCAGCAGAATGGCTGAGAGTTGAAGTGAGGGTGACAAAACCTGAAGATTTGAGTCTCTGCTGCTTGGAGCAGTCTTGGGGCTGGGAGTGGTTACAGAATCACAGACTGGTTTGGGTTGGAGAGGGCTTTAAAGCTCATCTTGTTCCTGGCCTTGGACACCTCCAGGGATGGGGTGAGAGTCCTCAGCTTTCAGAAAGCATCAAAAATAATGGGCTGCCTTTTCCTAAGCTGTTTGCACAATAAATTAAGCAATATACCCCCCACTTTATAACAACAGCAATGTCTGAACAAGTGAAAGTAGGAGAGCCTTACCTTGTCAGGATGAACGACAAGCACTGCCCGTCGATACACCTTCTTCACCTGCTCTGGTGTCACAAGGTCTGCCATACTCACAGGTTTCCACCTGGTCTCCCCTGCCCACAATACTGTGTGCATTGTTGACAGCAGGGCTCTTATATTCCTCTCCTTCCCTTCAATCCATTCCAGAACCTGGAGAAAGGAATGTGTCTCAATTTATGCCTTACGTTAGATATTCCACTAGGACAAAGTTTCTTCATTTGAATAGCAATGACTCCAAGGAGAAGCTTACATTTCTTTCCATGCTTTAGAAAACCTTTGGAAGACATTTGTCTGTCTCTAATTGATCATTAATTTTTATGTCCCTGCTAAAAATACTGACTTGGTAACACTTCAGTCATTAGATGGAATAGTCAGAAGTTGTGGTTTCATATTTCAAACATAGAGCAGGACAGACTGAATTTCCTTCCCTTCTCAATAGATCTGCAGTTTGGCAATTTATTGAGGAGAGATGAGAGAATTCCAAAGCAGGCAAGATTAATGAGGCAGAGGATTAGTTCAATAAGCTGTACTTGCTAATCAGGGCTGGAGTGATGTTGAAGACCAGCAGCACAGACAGTAACACTGAGTGAGGCACTGTTGATGTGGTCTGGTTGAGGACAGAAATGTAACCTTGAAGTTTTAAATCTATTCAGGATGAATGACACATTGACTGTAAAACCATCACCAAGAATTTTGCTTACTTTTAGTTTTTCAGGGTCCATCTCCTTCGCCATTTCTTCTTTTCTCATCTCAGCTATTGTTTTGGGGCCCTTCTTGTCCTTGTGAGCATTAAAGCCTTGACCAGATAATAGATCTTCAAAATC